TTTTTTGTAGAGTAGTTTTTGAGATAAAAAAGTACAAAAACTTATTTGGTTTGCCTTTTTTGCAAACATGTTTCAAAAGTAATCCTGAAAATTAGATAACCAAATACATTTCTGAGATTTTTTTGAGAAAATCTGTTTAGTTTGATTACTCTTAAAAAAGTGTTTGTAGAGTATATTTTCAAAACATTTCTCCCAAAATCAAACCAAACAAGGCCAAAGTTTTTAACGACAAAATTTTGAAATTGACACTACTAAATAGACTTTTAGGGACAAAATAATTTGGTTTCAAAATGATTTATTTTTTGAGACAAAAAATTTAGTCCTAAAAGGATAATAATTCATCATTAATGTTTAATTTTCGTTGTTAAAAATATAATAATAATACTCTTCGCAATAAAAATATTTGGTCCTTAAAAATAATTTTATCTCTAAATTTTAGTCTCTAAAATCTTAATTTTTTATAGTGAGGGTAGGTTTTTGTTTTTGGAGATGTTGGACCTTGTGAGTCTTGCCATGAATCTTATTTCAATAATTTGAACTATTCATTTTATTCGACTAAGAGTTTAAATTATTTATGAAAAAAGTTTGATTATTTTGATAATCACCTCATGATTTTATTAGATTTTTTTGTTAAAAAAATGATGTCTATTTTTAAAATTATCTTTTATGTCTATTTTTTATACCCAATATATATATATATATATATATCAACAAAATATATATAATTATGATTATGATTATCAAACCAACCTAATTTTTTTTAATGAACAATCTACCTGCATAGTCTAAAGGATATTTTCAGATCAAACAAAAAGCGAAAAGTATAATATATACATATATATAAGTGGAAAAAAAAAATGTATATATATATATCCCTAAAAGATATTTTCAGATCAAACAAAAAGCGAATAGAGCCTATACAAATGGTTAAACCTTTTTCACCATCATAACACCCCTGAATGCACCCCAAAACTCGGTGCCAGGCCAAGTTCTTGCTGAGAGGTCGATCCATCCAAACGAGTGCAATGGTTGAATCATCATCATTTGTAACAATAGTTTCACTCATGTCATCATAGCAATGATGCTAGGTCGAGGTTGGTGTCCAGGTTGATGCTCCACTTGTTTAAGCAGTAAATAATTTTATTTTTTGTATAATAAAAAATATTTTTTTAACTAAAATTTTAAACCTCACCTCCCATCTTCACTACACTAGACCTAGCCCCTTCCCGCAAACACCCCGCTCCACCTTCACTAATATACAACTATTAGGATATTAGTCCTGAAGTTACAAACAAACAAAATTATTTTTGACTAAGAGTTTTAAACATCAAATTTTTTTATTTTTAAAAGTGAAAAATTTATTGTAAAAGATATTTAGAGACCAATTTCTATCATCGTGAGGATAGTCGTTAAAAAATCGTCTCGAAAATTCAAAAATAAGGTTTTTAGCGATAAAATTTTAAAAATGTCACTGATAAATAAATTTTTAAGGAAAAAATAATTTAGTCTCAAAACAGTTTATTTTTTGAAACAAAAAGTTTATTCCCAAAAGGATAATAATTAATCACTAATGTTCAATTTTCGTTGTTAAAAATATAATAACACTTTTCGCAACAAAAATATTTAGTCCCTAAAAATAATTTTCTCCTTCAATTTTAGTCACTAAAACCTTAATTTTTTATGGTTGGGGTAGGTTTTTGTTTTTTGAGATGTTGAACCTTGTGGGTTTTGCCATGAGTCTTATTTCAATGATTTGAACTATTCATTTAATTCGACTATGAGCATAAATTATTTATGAAAAAAGTTTGATTATTTTGATAATTACTTCATGATTTTATTAGATTTTTTGGTTAAAAAAAATGAGGATATTTTTAAAAGGGTAAATTACACTGATACCCCCTGAGGTTTATGTTTATTACAGTTTCTCCTCTCACATTTGAAAAATTACACTGACCCCATGTTAATTTAATTTTATGTACGGTAAATTACATTGACACCTCCTGAGGTTTATATTTATTATAGTTCCTCTTCTCGCCTTTTGAAAATTACATCTCTCTCTCTGAAGTTTAAAATTTTATTACAAATTACCCCCTAAGGTTTAAAGTTTCATAACAGTTTCCCCATCACCGTAATGGTCATCACACATAAAATTAAATTAACAGGGGGATCAGTGTAATTTTTCAAATGTAAGGGAAAAACTGTAATAAACATAAATCTCAAGGGGTGTCAGTATAATTTACCTATTTATGTATGATGATCATTACGGTGAGGGAAAAGCTGTTATGAAACTTTAAACCTCAGGGAGAAATCTCTAATGAAACTTTAGAACCTCAGGGAAGCGGATGTAATTTCCAAAAAATGAGGAGGAGAACTGTAATAAACATAAATCTTATGGGGTGTCAATATAATTTACCCTTTTTAAAATTATCTTTTATGTCGAATTTTTACGCCCAAAAAGAATACATCAACAAAATATATAATTATGATATATACCTGCATAGTCTAAAAGATATCTTTTATCAAACCAATCTAATTTTTTTAATGAACAATCTATCTAAAAGATATTTTCAGATCAAACAAAAAGCGAAAAGAGCCTATACAAATGGTTAAACCTTTTTCACCATCATAACACCCCTGAATGCACCCCAGAACTCGGTGCCAAGCCAAGATCATGTTGAGAGGTCGATCCATCCAAACGAGGCTCCAAACAAACCTTTAACTTAAACGGAGACGGCGTTGTATCAGTGCGGCAAACTGGACAAGTAGAACAGGAACAGAGCCACATATCAATACAAGCCACGTGGAAACAGTGCATGCACTCGGGCAACGTACGTAGCTCTTCACCCTCCTCGTACTCGTTCAAGCAAATCGTACAAGTCCCATCTTCTCCGACCAATTTCGTTCCATTTTCATACTTGTGGACCGGTATGAATCCCGTCGCCGACGTGTCGATGCAGCCCGGTATCTCTCCTTGTCGGAGAACCGGTGTTCGGTGGTGGCGTTGGGGGTTTCTCCGGTTGTGGCAACAAGCGTTGATGCAGTGGTAGAGGATGATGACGATAGCGACTGTTGAGGCGGCGATTAGGAGGATGGTTAAGTGGTGGGTAAAGGAGTTGTTGCTGTCATTGCTAGCCATGGCGGTGATGGTGATAGTGATGGTGGTGGTGGTGGGATTGGAAAGAGGTGAATTTGGAGGAAGAGGTCATGGAAAACTACATAGGATATTAGGAATGAGGGTGAACAAGGGACTGTCTTTACAATTATAGGCTCTGTTTGGTAAGTGGATTTTGATTTTTTTATTTTTATTTTTATTTTTATTTTTATTTTTATTTTTAATTCACCAAAAGATAAAATAGATTAAAATAGTTAATAAAATAAAATATTACATCAAACTTATAATCATTTTATTTTTTCTCTCACAAATATCACATTCAACTATAAAAAAAATTCAACCATCTTTTAAATATAAAATTTTTTATTTATTAAAATAGTCAAAAATTAAAATAATTTATCAAAATAACTAATCATTTATGGTGCGTGGGTTTGACTAATCATTTGCATAATTGTTCACATACGACAACTCGGATTGGATAAGAAAAATGATTGAGAGCATTAAAATTGGAGTATTAAGGAGAGTAATGATGTGGTAATGGGTTTCACCCACTTCTTTTGTTTTTTTTCCTTTTTCTTTTTTTTTTATATTTTTAATACATTAATATTATTAGTAATATTATTTTTAATGGTATGAATCATTGTTGGAGTGGATAATTGTCGCGTATGACAACTCGGATTGGATTTACAAGAGACACTACAACAAAAAACATTTTTGGCGACGCTTTTTAGCAACCAAACAAAAATTTAGTTGCCAAAGATACATTATTGGCGACAGAATAGTTGTAGTCACTAAAAACTAAACTTTTGGCGACGAATTTAAAATTTTGGTCACTATTGAGTTTGGCGCCAAGTGATTTTTTTGGGCGAGAGCGCTAAAAATAATTTGGCGACCAAATTAATTTTGAGCGACAAAAATTTTAGTCGCCAATTATATGTATTTGGTGACAAGCATAATTTGGTCGCCAAAAATTTAAATAATATGTATGGCAACCAAATTTATTTGGTTGCCAATAAATTATTTGTTTTTACTCTAATTTTTTATTGTCAAAAATAATTGACTGAGTGAATAAACAAACAATTGGTCATCACTTTCCTTCTCACTTTCTCACTCCATCTGAAACGGCACACACGGGTCGATCCAGGTAATGTATTCTTCTTTTCTTCTTCTTCTCTCTCTCTTTCCCCTTCTCCCTCTTGCTCTGCTGCATCACCGAATGTGAAAGGCACCGAAGCGCTGTTGACAGCAGCGCTGCACGGCGGCAGATCGCACCCTCTTTTTGGGTCGATCCCCTCTTCTCTTCTCTATCTCTGATATGTTGAATGTAGTCCCTTTCCCTCTTGCTTTCTCGAGCCGTCGGATGCCAATGGCACAACAGCGCTGGGCAGCAACAGTGCTCGGCGGCAAATCGATGCTCTCTTCTTTGGGTCGATGCCCTCTTCTCTCCTCTGGGCCAAATGTTGGTGTTGTTGTTGGTGTTGGGTTGTGATTTATAATGAACACTTTGAAAAACATGGTATTATTATTACTTATCTGTTGCAAATCTCATTCTTACCCCTGATGGTTATGGAGTCGATTTTACTATATCTGTCAAACTAATTGAAGATAATTCTCTCCTTTTTGGCATGTTTCTTCATGAATGTGTATACAAATCTCAAACTTGTAATCTATAATTGCTTATGCCATATACCATTTAGTGGAGGAGTGGATTTGAGTTATGCATGTTACTCACCTTTCCTTGTTATATGCTGCGCTTGGGTTTTTAGTTTTTCCCCCTGTTCTACTTTGGGTATCAGCACCTGTTTTTGCATTTGTTGAATGCTCTTAGTTCACATGTTGCACTTAGTTCCAGGACAATGAATTATATCAAGTTAAACTTATCTGTTCTGGTGCCTTTTGGCGGTCTTTTTATGCAGAGGTGTTGGCCCCTTTGGTCCAGATATGGTCCGCAAGTATACTAGTGCTAGATTTGGTTCATCTTCAACTGGCCAAGTTTTGAATGAAGAGGAGTCCAAATTACTGTTAGGTATTTAAATGGTTTAACTTTTTGTCTGTGGCACATTTTGACTACAATAATCTAATAGTTGCTATTTCAATTGAAGAATATGTGTACCACACATTGACGGCCAAAGCCAGTGGAGAGCTGTGTTTAAAATATATATTTGCATTTGGAGCATTTACTCGGGTGCCTCTTTTAGAAAGGTGCGGTGATTCTCCTCCTAAACTTGTTTAATGGATTTGTAAAAGATAATGGCTGCCAAATGGCATGAATTCATCATGTAGAAATGATAGTGTGTTTTTTAGCAAGTAAATAAAAAGAAATGAAAGTGCATTTAAATTCCCCACCTAGGAAGGGTTGGAAGGTAGTGAGTGACTATTATATAATGATCTCATTCCTTTGGGGTGCAGTGCATCTGAATGGAAAGTCCCAACGACATTTATATATGGCTACGAAGATTGGATGTCTTACGAAGGGGCCCAAGATGCTCGCAAGCATATGAAGGTCCCTTGTGAAATTATAAGGGTCCCTTAGGTTTCTCTCTCTCTCTCTTCCCCCCTAAATTTGTCAAACTGTGCCTTTTCAGTTTCATAAAAGATCTGTTATATTATATGTTTTTAGATTTTCTTAGCTAGTTTTTGAAGGTTGAGTTTTTGTGGGCTTGCTTTACATTAACTTGGCTTTTTGCTCTCTTTCTTTTCTCTCTCTCTCTCTCTCTCTCTCTCTCACACACACACACACACACACACACACACACACACACACACATTTGTTTTCTAAATAACACAAAGGACCCAGGGCAAAAGCCATTCATTCAGCTTTACAATTGGCCAAGGATCCATTATTAAAGGTAAAATTTATTATCGTATAATGCCGTATCTATTTAAATTATGTATTCGACTTGTGTGTGATGTAGATGCATGCATCTTCAATTGTAGGCCCTTTTATTTTCCCTTTTTATTTTATTTTATTTTTTAACAACATTTTGTATATTTTAACCATATGATAGCATTGGATTCTCAATTTAGAAATGTTTTTCGGTACGAAGTTGGAGGACTTGATTTAACATTTAAAAATGCATTATTCCAATGCATCAGAAAACTTTTGAGATTGAATTGTTTGTCTTGATAAATTGCCCTAACAATCCCATTCATTACTCTCTCTGTCTCTCTCTTTCTCTCTAATATGACTTGTATCAATTATAGAAACATTTTTCACTGTATGATGGACATGTTATCAAGATCATAGTTATAAATCCTGTTTTTGACTGGCCAAAATGGCTCAGTATGCACCAAGGTTGCTATTCGTTCTTTCATGATGTTGCACCCAAGGTTTATTCATCCAAATACAGGTGCTGCTTCAAATGCCGCTGCACCGTCACAGGCTTCAAGAGCTGCAGTGGTGCCAAATGCAAGCACTTAACCAACAGCTGCCTCAGTAGTTCCAGTTTTTGATTTCTATAGTGGGCTCCCAAGGAAACCATCTCTCTCAAGAGTTAGGGAATTTGAAATTTGACAACAAAAAATAGATGCTCTCATGAGACCTATGAACCAATTTTTGTACAAAGTTCAAGTTCTGTTAGTAGATTTTATTTTTTTATTTTTTTCTTTATTGTTGAACTATGGCTTTTGATATATCTTGCACAAGACCTTGAGCTCTACAAAGAACTCCTTGGACTTGTTAGATCTCACCTTCTTAATCTGCAAAGAACTGCTTGGATGATTTAATTCCATATAGGTATGGCTACTATCTCTCTATTGGCCATGATGGCTATTATAGGTTTAATGCTAGTTGGTTTGTATGGTGGGATGTGTGGGTTTTGAGAGGAACTAGAGAAAAGAAAATGAGAGTTTAGGAAGGAGACTAGTAGAGTTTAGGAAGGAACTAGAGTTTAGGAATGAGAGTTTCAAAGAAAGGATGATTTATTATCCCTACGTTTTTTAGATTGATGCTATATTTTGTTTTAATCTGGGGACCAAAGATATGTTTTAATTTCATTATCCTAATGTTAAACTCTTATTATGTTTCCTAAGAACACTATAATGCTATACTAGAAATGTCACACATCTCATAATTTACTTTTGCAATATCAGACAACTAATTATCACTAAATATCATCGGCAGTAAAGTATTATTTGTGGGCACAATGCTAGCAAACTATTCATATTCATTCTAGTTTTTATTAGAGGAACTTTTTTACCTTAAATGTAAGTAAAAGCAACCTCAAGTTTATGATTTAGGCCCTTCTGATTTCAATTTAGTCATGAAAATGAAGTTAGTACTTTGGATTACATCTCATTCCAGTGGTAGCTCCTACTCAATTGATATTTGCTCTTGTTTTGGAACCTTGAAATTGGATTTCATCAGTATTCCATAATGACATAATTTGAGCTAGGTTTTGGTTGTATAATATGTGACTGATTTACAAATTTATAGAGATATTTCTTGTAATTAGTTCATATATGCCAAGTTTAACTGGTGAATCATGTGTTACTTTTTGATTTTGGTATATTGAAATTTTGTAATTCACCGTAGGAAAACTTGCTCTCAATTTGTTCATCTATAATGTGAAACCAATGTTTTTAGACCAAGACCTTGATTATTAACATTTTAACATTATAATTTTTTTTTTTTCATATGTTTGACAGATTGGCAATGGATGGAATATAGTTCGGGGAGCATCAAATGATTACATTTTGAATTTTGGATATATTTTGTTATAGGTTTTTGTTATGAATTTGCAAGCTTGGAAGGTTTTTTGGAATTACATGTTTGAAGTTTTTTCCATATGTTTGACAGATTGGCAATGGATGAAATATAGTTCGGGGAGCATCAAAGGATTACATTTTAAATTTTTGGATATATTTTGTCATAGGTTTTTGTTATGAATTTGCAAGCTTAAAAGGTTTTTGGGCATTACATGTTTGAAGTTTGGGATTGTAAGAGATTTGTACTTAAATTAGATGTTTTGGATTTGATATGTTTATATTTAATATGGTTCTACTTTTGAATTAAGTTTATATTTTGGATGCTTTGCACAAGTGTGTTAATTTGAATTATATTTTGCTTATATTTATATGTTTTTGAATTATATATTGAACAGGGAAATTGTTAAATTTTTTTTATAAATAATGAATTTTTGGTGATAGATTTTTTTAGTTGTAAATTTACTTTTGGTGACATTTTATTTATGTTGCTGAAAGTATGTGTCCATAATTTTTTTAGCAACCCAAAACTTGATTGGTCGCCAAAAGTTTTAACATTCAACAACCAATTTTTTTAGTCACTGAAAGATATTTTTAGCGACACATTTATATGTCGCTCAAACTTAACACGTCATCAGCTGAAGGCTACTTTAGTGACTAAATGTTAATTTATGGCGACGAAATTTTAGTCTTTTGGCGACCGAAATATTTGGTCGCCAATTTATTTATAAAGGCAACCAAAATTGATTTGGTCGCCGAAGCACTTTGTGACAGGGCTTCAGCGACCACTTTTGTTCATGTCGCGGATACTTTCAGCAACCAAAATTACACTTTTGGTGACTAAAAAGCAGGTCGCTAAAAGTGTTTTTTGTTGTAGTGAGACGTATGTGGTTGTGCGAACGGCAACTATATTTAATAGAATTTATTTACGGACCATTTGTGTTGGCTTATTTTTTCTATGAAGGAAAATATCACAAATGTGAGCGTGTCAGAAATGATTAAAAAATTCTTACAGATTAAATTCAAGCCAATTATCAAGCGATTGCGTTGACGGTTCTTTTGCCTCAACAAAGAGGACTTCAAAATTGCCAAGTGTAGAAAAAAGAAAAATTAAAAGAAGAAAGAGGGAGACGGAGAAAGACGATTGAGTGAATAATCAAAGTAATCATTACTTACCTTTATTCCTATGTTTCGAAAAGGAAGTGCATAAAGTGCTTTGAAAAGGAAATGCTAAAAATAAATGCTTCGAAATATAAATCTGTGTTAAACTACTCCTAAGATAAGGAAAATGCCAAGAAATATTAAAATCAATTGTCTTTGATTTGAATTCTGGATCTTTTACAATATAATTATGAATGACTATTTATAGGCAAATATTTGTAAGAAAAAACTTCCAGCAATAACTACCCAATAACCACCTAAAACTACTCACTCTTTCATCTTCATTCTCACAATGTCACATATCTCTCCATGACTTCATAACTTCCTTTAACCTCCAATTCATGCTCTATGCTCTCCACTTTATTCTCCATCATCTTTTCACATTTCATAACTTCTCATAACCTCCAAATGAGTAGGAGGATGCCACATGTCCTGCAATTATATAAATAATAAATAATAATAAAATTTGTAGATTTATGGTGCCAACAGTTTGGTAATGATTTTTTTTTTTTGTTAATTTTTTAATTTTTTTAGTCTAAGATTTTTATTTTTTGTTTGGTTTTTTTAGCTTTTTAACTTTGGAATGGAAAATTTTTTTAGTCCTTTTGTGATTTTTGGCTTTTTTTTTTTTTTTTTTTCTTTTGTGATTTTTAAGCCTAAAATGAAAACCAAACCGGGGCTTAGTTTGATAAATTTATTATATAAATAAATTAAATTTTACAGTTCTTTTATGGTGTGCGTCTCTTTAGGAATACATGTTATATGTATTTTTGTCACAAAATAGATAATTTTAGTACTATAAATTACAACATACGTAATCTCGTCACAAATTGACATAATAAAAAATATTGTCATCAAGTCACAAAATTTTGCAACATTAATCACAAATCGTACATATTTTCTTATGCCAATTTGTTGTGAGGTTACGCATTTTGTGATTGATATTAAAAAAATTTGTAATAAAGTTTTATATTTTGCGATAGGGTACATATGGTATCATTTTCTTAGACTTTAACATATTTTAAAATTTATTATATTGTTAAGTTGATTTTAAAAAATTTACTACTCAATTCATTTATGGTTCTAATTTTTATGGATAAATTACAAATACACCTATTGAGATTTACATAAAATACAAATTGCCTCCTGTGATTTAGAAAATTACAAATATCCCTTGTTAGAATTTCTTATTTAACAAAATTAACTAAAAAAATAAAATTCATAATTACTCTTTTATACAATAATAAAATTACTTAAATTATTAATTGAAACATATTTGTAACATTATTAAAAACTGTTAATTGACTTCATGATTTATTAATAAAAGGAGTGATTTATTATGAAATTAAAAATCTCAAGGAGTGAAATGTAATTTTCAGAACTTCAAGAGGTGAAATGTAATTTTCAAAATCACAGGGGGTGATTCATATTTTAATCAAACTTTAGAGGGTGTATTTATAATTTATCCAATTTTGTATAGCTAAAATGTTGTCTATCTTCTTAGTCACACATAAATATATATATATATATATATATTTTCCCGACGAAAGTCAATTGTTACTTTAACACCTATGGGAGTTAGTTTTCCCATCTTTTGAAAAGTACTAAGTGTTTCCTCCTTAATTCAATTCCTTTTAAAAAGAGTTGAACCCATAAGTTTTTTCTAAGAACTAAACCCTTAAGAAAGTTATGATAGCTAATTAGAGTAACCCTAGTTAGTTTCTTAGTTACCAATGCCCAACTATAATTGGGAAATTCTACTATACAACCCCTTAAAAGGGATGTACCATATGTACCCCTAATTATGTTATTTTCTACTTTAGTTATGACGAATTTTTTTCTTTAATTATGACATTATTTTAGTTATGAGTCATGAGATATTTGATATATCTTTTTATTTTAATTATGACTCAAAAAATATGAAATTATACTATTTTCGTATTTAGTTATAAGGTACATATAGTATACATCTAATTAGTCTTTCCCCAACCAGAATAGATAATTATTATGTATTCTTGCAGTATTATGTAACATTATTAATGTAGTTGTTCAAACTAATAGTGTAGCATGATAGTATGGGGACATATTTTTTGACAGACAACACATGGCCAAGGTGGCACCGAAGTGCTAGCCGAGGTGCCACATGTCCTGGTTATGACGCCGAGATTATCTCAGCTAGGCCGAGGTTATCTGTGGAGATACGGAATCCAGAGTAAACGGATAAACTATAAGAGTCCTAAATGGGGAAGGATTTTAGTCTGAATAAGGATAAAACTCTTAAGGAATTTATCTTTATCTATTAGAGAATCCAGGATGAGCATTGAGCCAGAGTTCAAGAGAAGCTAGGCTTCTAGAGGAACCAGGTTAGTGTTGACTACAAGAGCAAGGCACCTTCATGGGTTTAAGGTACACTTTTTGTATTCTGGCTAATAAATTAAGCACTATTTGTTATCTTTGAGAGATAATTGAGTACTGACTTGATCGTCGGAGTGCCCCCAGGTGGACGAACCATTGCCGGAGTCTCATCTTTTTGTGACAGGTCGTTCGGGCGCAATCTATTTTGCCAGTGTTCTCCAGCTGAGTACCTGTTTAGCAGTGTGGTCAGAAAATAACACACACAATTTAGCACTGTTTGTGGGAAAGAAAGGAGAATAGATGACCAACGACGGACAAAAAGAGAAGATTGGGGACGACATCCCTACTGGAAGTGGTAAACACTTTGATCCTAACGCAGAAGATGATAACTGCAACGAAGAAACTCGGGATCAGAATCTCAAAGAGAAAGACGTCAGCCAGGAGGGAGACGTACCAAAGAAGGTAGACCGAGG